CCCTGAGCCTCTGGCCTGTACCCCAGTTCTGTATGCACAAATAAATAAATTAAAAAAGAAGAAGAAGAAGAAGAAGAAAAAGTAATCTGAATGTCTATTAATGACAGAAATTGTAGTGAAAATCTTCTCACATAAAAAACTCTAGGCCAGATGGCTTCTCTGAAGAATTCTATTAGACATTAAAAAAAAAAAAAAGCATAGTTTTTTCCCCCCAGAAAATCTTCTGGAAAATTGAAGAGGAGTGTATCCTTTCTAATACATTTCATTAAGGCCATCATTGCTCTTCCACCAAAACCAGTCAATAACATCACAAGAAAACTACATCACAATAATTTATAGCAAAATTATAGCAAATTGTGTTCAGCAATAAGTGAAAAGGACAATACATTATATCAACCTTGTCCAGGAATGGTGCCTATTAAAAATATCAATGTAATTCACCATATTAACAAATCATATGATACATCATATGATACTTTCAGTAAGTGCAGAAAAAAGCTTTTGAAAAATATCCAACATCCATTCCTCATCAACATTCTCAAAAAATTAGGAGTAGGAGGGAACTTCTCAACTTAGTAAAAGCATCTATGAAAAATCTATAACTAACATTTGGATGGTGGAGGTAGAGGGAATGCTGTTCCCTTAAGGTCAGGAGGAATACAAGGCTTCCTGCTCTCACAGCTTCTATTCACCATTGTCAATGATGCCAAGTAGCTAGATGCTGGAGCCTGAACCAGGCCTCAGCTCCACCTAGGGTGTAAGGGGAGTGAACCCACCAGCTCTGCCTGGGGAAGAGCCCTGACTTTAGTATCTGTAGTGCCTGGATCCAAATTCTGCATTTGCCCTTTACTTGGTATGTGATGGAAGGAGGAAGATACTTCACCTCTCTGCCTCAGTTTTCTTTTCTTTCTTTAAGATTATTTATGCAAAATGGCACATCTTCAAACAACTAGCAACAACAAATGTTGGGGAGGATGTGGAGAAAAAGGAACTCTCCTGCACTGCTGGTGGGAATGCAAACTAGTACAACCACTATGGAAAACTGTTTGGAGGTTCCTCAAACTGCTAAACATGGAGCTTCCCTATGACCCAGCAATCCCACCCCTAGGTATCTACCCAAAAGACACAAAAACACTGATTGAAAAAGATACTTGTACCCCCATGTTTATTGCTGCTTTATTTACAATTGGAAAAACATGGAAGCAGCCCAAATGCCCAAAAGTAGATGACTAGATTAGAAAGATGTGGTACATATATACAATGGAATATTACTCAGCAACCAAAAAAGAGAAACACATGTCTTTTGCAGCAACTTGGATGGAGCTGGAAAAGATCATGCTTAGTGAGATAAGCCAGAAAGAGAAAGAAAAATACCGGATGGTTTCACTCATAGCAGGAGTATAATGGACCAGGCGAGAAAATAACAAAAATAATGAACAACCATATACCAGAGACATTCTGTGGGGGTGGAGTGGGGAATGGGATCAAAAACGGGGTGGGGGAAGGGAGGGAAATGCAACGGACTATGGTGGTGGCACAGGGGTGATTTGGTGATGGGAAACCCGCGGGGATTACAATCGAGATGGAAAAAAAAATGTGCAAAATGATGTAAAAATAAACTTTTGTAATAAAAAAAAGATTATTTATGCATACAGAACTGGTGTATAGGCCAGAGGTGCAGGGGTGGTGAGTGGATTCACCAGAGACAGGCAGCTTAATGAAGTACACTGCTGAAGGGAGCAGCAGGCAGGTCAGGAGAGGTCTGCAGTACCATGTGAGTCACCTCCAGGGACGGGAATTGAACACGCACTGAAGAGGCTGTGGCCAGCTTGCAGTGCTGGGCTTTAACCCATTGTACTGCCAGTGTGGGCCCTGCCTCAGTTTTCTTATCTGTAAAATGGGGATAGTGACATATAGCTCAAAAGAATGTTAGCATTTTACTCAGTGAAAATGCTTAGAGTGCCTAAAACATAACAAATGCCCAGAAAATGCACTGCCTGGTCTAACAAGTGCAGGGGTGGAGTGGGGTGGGGGCAAAGCAGGAGGGCAGCTTTGTTTCTCTTGGGATTGAGGGTTCAGAGAGATAGAGGCCTACTGAGGCTTGAACTGGGCTTTATTTCACACCCTCATTCCTAGTCCTTTAGTCAGTCATTCAACCAACCTTTACCAGCTGTTCATATCTCTAGGCTGTGCCTGACCTTGAGGAAGGAGCTGGGGTACAACTGTGAACAAGACAAAGTTCTGACTTCATAACGTTCACACCTCAGGAAACAGAGTTGTGGATGACTCAGGTAACAGAGACCCAGAAGGAAAGGCAAACTGGCAGGGGGACATCAGTGCTATGATGAAACCCACAGAGTGGGTAGTGGGAGGTGCACAGGGAGGTATTTTATGCTGGATGGTACAGGAGAGGCAAGCCATTCAATGGGATAAAAGTTGAATCCGGAGTTGCACATCCCCACTCTGCCAAAACTGCGAGGCCTTGAACAAGTCACCTCTCTAAGCCTCAGTTTGCTCATCTGCACAGTATAGGGCAGTAACAATATCTAACTATGGGCACTTCAGGGAGCAGTAAGTGAGCTAATAAATGTGAAGAGCTCATACAGACCTTGGTACATTAGTAAGTACTAGAAGTGTTTGCTGCTTCTGCTTTTTTTTAGCAAGGGTAAATTCCCTGAGGTGGGAAAAGGCTTGGGATGCGCCAGAAGGAACAAGAAGGGCAGGAGTAAACAAGAGGACAGGGATGAAGTTAGGAAGGCAGGGTGTGAGTGGACTGAGACAGCTTCGTGCTGCCCCTCCATTCCCGGTCATTGTTCAAGTTCAGGTTCACTGGGCGCTGCTCAGAGGACTGCTGAGGTTCCCCACTGCTATCTCTGTAACTCCCACCTCCTAGTGTGATCTTCAAGGCTCTCCAGAGCCTCTGATTTGCCTGTCTCCCAACCCTCCATCTTCTCTGATCAGTTGCAGTCCCTCATCTTTCCCCAGTTGCTTGGTAAGTGCTCATCAAAACTGTTCCTTTCACAGAGGAGCCAGGAAACCACAGATGGATCTGACTTAGTCTGGGTCACCCAACAGATTAGGGGCTAAGTCTGGAGTCTAGGTATTCACGACTGCACCACAGCTCTAGCTTCTTAACTGAGCCTACATAGCTGTTATCATAACATGACTTGAGGAAAGGGGGCAGGGGCAGAGAATAAGAAAGGTGGAACTAACTGGAAAGGATTCCTATAAGGACACTGGTGTCTGGGCCCTTTTAATGCTAAGCACTCTGGTCCTCAGAGAGGTCATTTATGAGGCTGGGACACTGGGAGAGTAGATGGCACCCATCTGTCTTTGCTTGTGTCCATCCATTCTACTCTAAAGGACCTGGGATGTCCATCTGGTAAATGACTGTTGTTCAGCCTCCAGCAGGATGCTGAGAAGCAATGGCAGAGACTGCACAGTGGACTGTGGCGGAGGTTTAGCTGGGGAAGGCACAGACCCCAGGAAAAATACAAGCAATTCTATGAAGTGGTTTATTTTGTGAGGGCTGCCCAAACAAAATACCACAGACTGCCTTAACAACAGAAAATGATTTTCTTACAGTTCCAGATGTTGGAAGACCAGATCAAGATGCTGAAGGGTTGGTTTCTGCTGAGGCCTCTCTCCCAGCTTTGCAGACAGCTACCCTCTTGTTGACTCTTTTCTGTGGGCACTCATCCCTTGTGTCTTTTGGTGTATCCACATTTCCTCTTTCATAAGGACATCAATCAGTGTGGATTAGAACCCACACTTACTGCATCACTTTAACTTAATCACTTCTTTAAAAGTCCTATCTCCAAATACATCCCCATTCTGAAGTACTAGAGGGTTGGGGCTTCACAATGAACTGGGGAGGGGGCACAGTTTAGCCATAACAAATCAAATCCTAATCACTGCCTAACCCGGAGCAGGAGAGCAAAGACTCAGGAATCCCAGGAGAGAGGCCTTAAGAGTTGGGCGTTCTGGGAAATTTTCCTGAATGCAAGAAACTTGGTTTTGGTCAAAAGAAGGAAGGACATATGAGGCCTAGGGGACACACACACAGGATGTGTTTTTGGGAAGATACATTCTTTAGCTATCTAAAAGAGGCACAAGGGCTGGCTGTTCTCGTGGGGAGTGTAGTATTAAGGGACCTTAAATTCTGAGTGGCCTTAGATGGCAAAAGAACAGCTTGAGCTTGGTTCTCTGGTGGTAGATTGTACTTGAGGACATTGTGAATACAAGGAAGATATCAGTTATGCTTTGGGCAGGAATCAGGGAAATTAGAGATTTAGAGCAATGGTTTTTAAATTTGAAAATGTGTGTCAGTATCAGCTGGAGAGCTAGTTAAGCCATCTCTGTAATTGCTATTCAGTTCTGGAGATGGTCTGGGATGGGGTGGAGAATTTGCATTTCTGACCGTCAGGGAATTCTGTTAATGCTGGTATGGGCATCACAACTGGAAAGCCACTGGACGCTTTGCTAAAGAACAAGGGTGGGCAAGGATATATTTTATCTCCTGAAGCCCGAGGCTAATACCATCCATTACTGACAGAAAACTGAAGCTCAGAAGGCAGTGACCACAGTGGGGGCTTTTCCAGACGTTGAGCCTAAAATCGTGTCTCTGGGTTGCCTGCCAAAGCAGGAAGCGTTTCCGACCTCTTCCTCCTGGGTCCACGTGGTGTAGGTCTTTCTGAGGGCACTGCCATTTTTGGTACTTGGAAAACATCCCAAATAGCTGGGTCTGTCTGAGCGTGCGTGCATGTGTGCGTGCGTGCGACAGTGAGAACGTGCAGACAGCACCAGCTTTCCTGTCGCCCCAGCGGCTAAGCAGCTTCTGCCCAGGTCGGCCCCGCCCCCTC